ATAATACAATATTTTATTATTTTTAATCTTAAAATATATAGCATATATATTTGAATAATATAAATAACATTAAACAATACAATAAAATAACTAATAACAATACAATAAAATAAATTAATTTATTTTAATTTTAATATAAATATTATATGAAAAATATACATTGCATATTAATATATTAATATTTAACTGATTATATTGTATATTAATATAATATATTAATATTTATCTAGGTTGATATTACATATTAATACAATTAATACTAATAATTTAATTATGATTTATTTCATAAAGATATTTTTAAATTTTATTTGTAGTTGTCTTTCATACAAAAAAATATACTAACATATACACGATAAATATATTTTTAAATATTATTTCAATTAATGATATTTATTAACTTTACACAATAATTTATTGATAAGAATTTTACGATAATTTTCCATTTATTATGTTATTATATTAAAAAAGACATTTCAATTCGTTCATTTGTATAAGTTAGTTATTGTACACTTATACCTATATGTATATGAAATGTATTTATACGATTAAAAATTTATTATGAAATATTTTTATTAAGAAAAAATTGTTTTCTTAAATAAATAAGATTTACAAATATGAGTAATATTTATATACAAGAACCACCTACTACCGGTAAAGTAAGTATTAATTCATGATATTTCAATAAATTGCATATTTGTTTTTAAAAACATAACCTATATGTATTACTTATTTATTTTTGTATTTCTATATTAAATAATTTATAATTTATATAATATGGTAAATTTTATTTTATAAGAATATATTTCATATATTAAAAAATATATGTATTTTTTAATATATATATATATATTTTTTTATTACAATATATTTATTAAATAGGTAATGATGAAAACAACTGTTGGTGATATTGATTTGGAATTATGGACAAAAGAGGCTCCAAAAGCATGTAGAAATTTTATACAATTATGTATGGAAAGCTATTATGATAATACTATATTTCATAGAATTATTAAAGGATTTATCGCACAAGGTGGTGATCCAACAGGTACAGGAGAAGGTGGTGAAAGTATATATGGACAACCATTTAAAGTTAGTTTATATATAAAGCTAAAATTTTATCTGATTTATTAAAAGGATAACTATAAAATATATGTGTATTAGGATGAATTTCATACAAGATTACGTTTTTGTCGACGAGGTTTAATTGCTATGGCTAATGCTGGAAAAGATGATAATGGTTCTCAGTTCTTTTTTACTCTTGGTTCTACACCAGAATTACAAAATAAACATACAATTTTTGGAAAAGTTACTGGAGAAACTATATATAATATGCTGAAACTTGAAGAAGCACTTGTAGATGAGGTGAATTTAGTAGATTTACTTTTTTATAGAAATTTATTATATATATATTATAAATAATTATATATATTTATTATATATTATTATAAATAATAAATAAATAATAATAAATTTTTTATAAATATATTTAAATTAATATAAATATAATTTTTTTAGGATGATAGACCATTTTATCCACCAAAAGTTATAAAAACAGATATATTGAACAATCCATTTTCTGATATTGTGCCAAGGATAATAACAAAAAAAAATGAAGAAATAAAGGATAATTCAAAAACTAAAACATCAGGAGTAAAGTAAAAAGATAAATAATTATTATATTTCATTCCATTAATAACATTTTTTATAATAAAATTTTTTACTACAGAAATTTTAATCTTTTATCATTTGGTGAAGAAGCAGAGGAAGATGAAGAAGAATCTGTGATATTAAATAAAAAATTTAGTAATAAGGGCAAATCAGCTCATGATCATCTAACTGATCCAAAATTAAGTGCACAACCAGCTATTGAACCAACTGGACCTCCAAACAAAAAAAAAAAAGAAGATCGTAGTAGTGATTGGGAAAGTGATGAGGAAATGAAAACTCAAGAAGAGATGGAAGCTATAAAAAAAGAAAAAGAGTTGAGTTTTATTTATGCTATAATTGTTTATATTATGTTTTATATTAGATATGATTTTTATTTATAAGATATTAGATATGAATTTTATTTATCATATTAATATCATATTTTTTTTAGAGCTATGAAAGAAAGAATAAAAAATAAATTGAGAGATACAAAAAAAGAATCTAAAAAAATAGAAAATTTTAAAATAGATGATGATGAAGGTGATAAGGATATAAAGGATGATGAATATTATCTTGGAAAGGATAGAGATGAAGAACGTAAAAAAAAAGTGTACGTTTTATGTATATTATATAATATATATATAATATTTTTTACTAATATTTGTTTATAATTCATATTTAAATATTTAATTAAATATTATACTATTATATGTATAGAGAAGAAATAAAAAAAGAAATTCGGGATTTAAAACGTGATGTTAAAAATGAAAAGAAAGCAAAAGAAGAAGATAAAAAAATGAAAGAAGTCCAAAAAGAAAAGAAAGAAAAAAAAGTAGAAATTATGAAAGAATATATAGATACTCAAGAAAAATATAAAGAAGCAAAGTTAAAAATACCTAAGAAAGGAAAAAGCCGTGAAGACTTTACAATGGAATTATTAAATAAATTTAAATCTAAACTTCAAAATGCTAAAGAAAGTGTAAGAGAAACATCACCAAGTCCAATAAAAAAAGAAAACATTAAAGATGAAGATTTTGATCCAACCGATGAATCTTGGATGGTACATGCATTACATTGTGAAGAAAAAATACCTGTTCTTGCCAAAGATGCGAGTACAAAAGATGATGATTGGTTCGAAATTTATGATCCTAGAAATCCACTTAATAAACGACGAAGAGGAGAAAAATCATCCAAGTCAAAAGATAATAAAAGTAAACGTATTATCTCTCGCAAGTAATATGTATCATAAATAGTATTATAGAAAGAGAACATTATATGTAAGTATAGAAGATAATTCAGTATAGAATATAATATTTTTACATAATTTTTTTTGCACAGAATTATATGTGTGAAATATATATTAAATATATCTTTTTTTAACAAAAATTGAAAATTTATTGAAAAAATGTTTTCAAATATTAATTTTTTTAATATTTTTAATATTTAATATTTTGTAGCATTGCATTAATTAAAAAGAAAGAATTATATATATTTCTCTCGTATCGTTTCGTATGATAATGTTTATCACATTTTAAGAGATAATTTCAATATTTTGATGGTAAAGATGGATAACGGTATACCATGATTTTGAGCAAATAGATGTATAGATCATAGCTTATCCCTGGCACAGTAAAACTTGATAAGGCACTGATACAAAGCATGACATATTCCTTTACTGATTCAGTTTATCTGTTGACAGCGAACGATACACGTCGTGCATTTATATACATATAATTTTGTGATCAAATAAATGAAATTAACTAATGAATTATATATTTATTAAATGTCAGGGAAAGTAAAGTTAAATGATTTTTTAAAAAATAGAATAATTTAAATAGTTTTTTATTTATAATAAATAAAATAAAAATTAAATTTTTATTGTTAAATAATATTGTTTTTTATAATCAACGTTTTTTTATTTTTTTTTTTCTATCAATATAATCTAACATTTTTATTAATAATTCAATGAATGATTTGTGCTTGTGCGTTTTATAGTTTTTAACATTATTCACATTATCGTGTGATTCTAAGTGTTTTATGCCGCGCTTCTTCAAGGAAAATGCCAACGACGCCATTAAAAATAGATATATTTGGTATGCTTTATTTTGTTTGTATATTTTATCAATCATTTTTAAAAATATAATAGTAAAATAATAATTGTTATATTTCTATAATTGATAAAATGTTTCTATTTTATAAATTTTATAAAATCATTGCCTTAAAATAAATGATTTATCGTGTATATGTATTTATCGTTTATTTTTATATTTATTTTTGAACAAATTTAATATATTGCCAAGTTAAATTGCGTATTTTATCTACTAAATCTTTTATTATGTAATAACTTCTTACGTTTTTCTTTACCACGTGGTCATCATGAAATGTGCACTTTACAAAGTATATATACAATATATTATATATCGTAATCAAGTAGTAGAGCTTTAAGCACAGCTTATCAAAATCGTTTTAGCATTGATAGGTGAATTAACTAATTATACAATGACAGTATTTATTTAAACCATTATAAGTAGCCAGGAAATATATTGTCCTTTGAAACGAAATACATATAACACATTCATTCTTTAATTGTATATTCTTCTTTAATGTAGCTCATTTAATTGCATAATAATAGCATAAATAATTCTTTCTTGTGATAGAAAAAATTTTATCTTTAAATTTTTATATTTCTTTTTTAAATCTATATAAAAGTTTTAATATGCATGTGCCACAATAAATAAGAAAGTAGTATTGGAACAATTTGATGTAAATAAAATACACAGATGTGCGCTGTAAATAGCATAAAACTGCGCCATTTTTTATCATTCAGTATATTGAATGATAATGATTTTATCGAATATGATTCTTTTTTATTCTATATATTCAATAAATAGTTATATACAACATTTTACATTTTTAATTAAGTAAATAATATCATAATATTATTCTTGTATATATACATATATATTTTTTTTTATATTTACGTATAAACATATAAAATAAATTAATTTTTGTTATTTTTCTTCATAATATATTTTATTGTTTTTATTTTTATTTTATTTATTTTATATATGAAAAATGATGGATTTTTTTACAATAAATTAAATCGGATAAATTAAATAAAATTCGAAATTACAATTATGTATTCTACTTCTATATGTTTGTTTATAATTTATTCGATAAAAATTCTATAAAAATATTATAGATATTATAAATTTACGATACGAATGTATGTCGTCATAATTGATTACTATTTATCGCGAATGTATTCAAAATATACTTTATTTGCGTTGTTAAAGTCGGTCTCAATAAGATAGCGACTTGAAATATTATATAAATTGTTGTTATTCGTCGGCATCGTATCAAAACGTTGCATTTTTAATTGTAAAGAAAATCATGGAATTTTTCATTATCTCTATAATTGTTGATTTTACGTATATGTAGAATGTCCTGTAGTTATTTAAATAATGAGCCAAAAAAATATATATATGTTAATCTTTTTCGAACGTATATCGTAAGATCGACAAAGAAAAAAACTTTATTATATTTGTTTTATGTCTTTAAAAATATATATTACGTTACAATCTTCACAATCATTTGCCTTCAAAACCATTTTTAAATAATAATCAAACACAAATCAAGAATTATATATCTACTACAGAATTACAATAGCATATTAATATGCGCAATTATTATACGATGAAAAGAAAGAATTACAAAGAATTGTGTGGTATAATTTAGACGTAAGATATTTTGATATTTAGTTAAATTATTTATAATACTTATGTACCATAATAAATAAATAAATGAGCACTTCTTTCGAACTATTTATTTATTTACCTTTATATCAAAAATAAATTTTATATAATAAATAATTTTAAGTTTTTTAGTAGAAAACTATTAAAAAAACTATAATAAATAGAAGTATATATATAAAATACAATATATTCGACGTAATTAAAGAAATTGTAATGTTTATTGAACTAGCTTAAACATCATTCCTGCATTAATCGTTTTATTTGCTGCTATTCCTTTTTTTGCAATTAATTCACTCACTGAAACAAAACATTCTTATAAGAGTTTTATAATTCGTAGACGACGGTGTTCGTCCAAGAGATTGGCAACCACGTAGATCTCAGTACAAGGTTCCTCTGAGATTATTTCGATTGTGTTTATTGGGAATGTTTCTTCCCGCGATATTAGTAGCAGGGCCAATGTACTTACGATATCGTGTCTATTCCGAGCAACTATATCCTTTAACCGTCTCCGATCAAAGGCTTATCGACGCAAAAGTATCTACTACTTGGTGCCAGGTACGTCAATTTTTATTTTATCTCCAGATATTTTCTTCTTATTCCGTTTTAATCTCGAATTCTACGTCTCGGTTGAAAATTTGTAAAATAAAATACGATTATCAATACGAGAAACGATTCTTCGCAGAGTCAGATGATCAAAGTTAATACCACATTTAATGCCTATTTGATGAATGACGAACCAAAAGTGAAAAACGAATTCCTACCTGTCTCTATGACGAGACATTTGATTTTAGAGGACGACATGAAGGAATATTGGGGCTTCTATCTTCTTCGGGGTAGCAGTGTTACCGTGTCTACTTGCGTGAGGTAATATAGGTGATAAAAATAAAAAAGCAATCGAGATAAAGCGCGTAAAATTTGGAGTATTGATTAAAAAAAAAAAAGAATAAGATCTATGAATTTTATGGTAGATGGCCTGGCGCTTCTTTAACCATGATTCGTGGCCACAAACATCTTCACGAATGCGCATTCATCGGTGATGATAGTAGCGAAGAATTGGAGGAACTTTTGGAAGTTGCTAAAGAGACTGGTTTTATTGCGACGAACAATTCCTTTGAGGTAATTTCTTTCTTTATTTGCGAGATTGTCGAGATTAAGGAAAGAGAGAGAGAGAGAGAGAGAAAAGTAACGGAGAAATTCGTTTCGTAGAACGAGAGTCCTAGCAACGAGCCGGAAAAGATGAAGAGGGTTCAACAAGGTGTACAGTTTCATCACAAAGATCATCTCTTGAATAATTCGAAACATACGATGAACACTATGCCGCATCATTACAACAGTCACGAATTAGATGCCAAGGCTATGAAAGTGATTCTCACGGAACTTTTTGCCAAAACATTGGATACAAAGAAGAAGCAAAAAGAGAATCCGCATCATCATTACGAAGGTATTTTCGTAGAAACGGATAATATCGATAAACCGCCTATTCAATCTTCTTCTCATACCGATACGCAAGAAGCCAGAAATGAACAAATGGAGAATAAATTGATTAAAACTTTCGAAGAGGTTTTGAGGAGGCAAAGCGTAGCGAGTACCACGGCCGACGATAGAGGTGAATTAATAAAAAAGCATGGAAAGTTTATGCATAGATATGTTGTTGCACGAAACGAGACGAGCGAAAAGGAAACGAAGAAAACGACAATCGAGTCTAAGGAGCCAACATCCGGGGAAGTGTTTCGAGATGTTTTGGACAAGATTAATTCGTTGGGTTATCGGGGTAAAAAGATTCTGAAGAAACTGATGGACGAGATCGAGAAGAAAGGTCCGGAAGGGGAAGCTTTACGGCAGGCGGTGAACAAGACGATGAACGATCACACGCTCTCGAATGCTGAGAAACGCAGAAGACGAAGAGACCTGGTTTTATCCTCGCCTCTTCACAAGGAATTAACGGAAGAGGACGAAGATGACGATGCAGCTGTCGAAGAGGTAAAACAATTTATGTATCGATACGTATTTAGAAATTTATTCGAGCATATAGTTTTTTATTAGGAAGGTAAAAGTTTAAACTTTAAGGAACGCCATTGAAGATTGTAGGAAATTTTCCGCTAATAAATAAGCGGCGGCAAATTTCCATTTTGGCTCCAATAAAAAACAGCTGCAAGCATTATTACGTTATGATAAGGAGCAATGTTAAGCACGAAGGAACAAGATATTGTTTAAGCGTTGACTTATGTTTGGATTAAATTTAATTCATTGTTGGAACACGTTAGATGGAACATTATTGTCAATTCTGTAAATATTTTCACGTCAGACAAGTCGATAACTATCCAATTTAGATCATAATTGACGTTTTATCGCGCGCATGTACATAGTTAACAATATACGTTATATTTGTATTGTTCTCATTAACGATTAGCAAGCCATATAATTGCTCGATCTGCAATATCTCTTAATTACTCACGTGGATTTTCATCGGGAATGTACGAGAGTTTTCTTATCGGAATATTTTCGAGGCAATGCTAATATTTGTATCAGGGATACTTTTGCTTGGGAACGTTAAAAAGAGAGAAGATGAATCTTCTTGTTTTGAAAAAGTATTTTCTCGATGTGCTTTATTGTGCGATATCAAGGATGGAAAGGGAAAAGATTGAAGATTATAAAAGGATTAGGGAAAAGACGGATATTTATTTCATATAGGAGGATAAATATAATATCGCATGATTTTGTATATAATTATACATCGAAAATTCGATCGATTGGAAAGCTTTCTACGATAGATTAAGATTTTTAAATTATTTCTACATAATGTTTATTATCAGGATATGTTGAACCCGGATGGCATAGCCGAGGACAGAGGCACCGTGAACGAGACAACGTTGAACGATAGAAGCAATTCCGAATTTTGGAGCTCGTTCAGCAGTTCTGAGGAACGGCTTCTTGATTGCAAAGGATTGATTCTAAATTTACCTCTAACACCTCATAGACAATGTACTCCGAGACACGAGGGCGAACATACGGTCGCTTCGTTTGCCAACACGATTACATATAGGTATATATATATACATATAAATTTTTATAAATATTTATGAATACTTGAAGCGATAACAAAGATAAGCTTTTAATTTTTAAAAGATAAATAGCTATTTAGATAATGGTTCCTTTTTTGGAAATATTCGCCAAGCCCTATGATATTATTTTTGAAAAATAAAGTGTTAGTTTTATTGAATTAGTTAGTTGGTAAAACTATTAATTTCTTTGATTTTTGTTTTTTAATTCAAACGATTTATCAATAGTTTACAAATGATAAAAGCGTAGTTTCGAGGACTTTGCACTTCAATATTTATAAAGATAATAATAAAAGTGTAAAGTGGAATGCGATGTAAAAGAATAAAAAAAAAAAAATATTAAATAAATGTTAACAGACACTAGATAATAAGATTTTTGATAACAAATAATATAAAAATATATAAAAATAAAATTACGTAATAAATTAAAAATCTAAAGGTTTTAAATGAAAAAAAAATGTTAAATAGTCCGTCGTGACACGTGTTACGAATTTACATATGTACATTTTTATACATACATACATAATTGATAAATTATTCAATAACCTTGGTAAAACTTAGATCTCAATATTACATTTTATTGCAATTGTTTAAGATTTAATTGTTTCTTTTTTAAGAGAAATTCTTAAAAATTCTCATTCTAAATATTTTCTCAAACTGTCAAGCATTTGGAGATCAAACTTATAATAGATCAATCCGTATATATCAAATTCTTCAAATATATTTTCAGAGTTCCTACAAACGGATATTATTTCTTCGTCTTCAACTCTGAAAACGAGATTCAACCCAATTATCTAAGGGTACGGTTCGATCTTTTGAAGACGGTCTACAACATCTCGAACCCGGTACACGTCTGCAAGAATAGCACGATGGAATGTTCGTTGCCTTTTAAAATCTTCAGTAATGAGAGGACAGTGTTGGAATTGCCGTTGAATGGCAATGACTCACTATGGAACGAGGAATACGTAGTGGTATCCACGTGTGAACCAAGAACGTCTATTTATTTGCTATGCATTATATCGGTACCTTTGCTTATCCTTATATTTGCATTTCACTGACAACATGACGAATCGTGTGAGGAAAGGACAGTATTTTAATCTCACAATAAGAACACTCGCATAAAATGCTCACTTGTAAATATTTTTTAAGATTAAGATGCGAAGACAAACCATTGTTAAAATGGCGATAACGCGACAGTATTTTTTTTCTTCTTTTTTTTTTTTTTTTTTTTTTTTTTTTTTTTTTTTTTT